AGACGACTTGTGGTTGGGCGACTGCAACGCGCGGTAGGCTTGCATTTCGCTGATGAGGCTCGCCTTCGTGTCGCGCGAAATGGCTGTGCGCTTGATGGCGTACGTTGCTGCGTTCGAGAGGCGTACGCAGCGCAAGACGCTGCCGTCCTTGGCGCCGGCGAGCGTCGCCAGTACACTGTACATGTCCATGTTGCTCGGGTCGGGAAATCAGAAAATGAGCCGCAGTGGGACCGGCACGCGATCTTCTTTCTCCATCTTTTGCAGGTGCTATGGACGCGCTTCAACCCACCCACCCAACGGGCGGTGATCCGAAAAATTACCAGCGCTCTCGGCGAGATTGGTCCAGTCGTTCGGTCCTCGATCCAGCAGAAGAATGGCGCGCGTTTCTGTGTTGGGATTGGCCAGCTCGGGATCTTTATCCGTCGATTCCGGATACCGATGGCCATAACTTCAACAACCCAAAGTTTGAACCCGACAGGCGCATGGCGATCTTTTTCGAAAGTCTTTGGTCGACGCTAAGACACGGAAGCGAGAAGGACTGCAACCGATTCTTGATGCGCGTGGGAGCAAGTGCCGTCGTTCGAATCCTTTTCCGAAGCACCAGCATACCCGACGCCACGATCAATCTGCTTGACGCCACAAGATCCAGAAGAGCGAAGGGCATCGCCGCACCTAACACTCTCGAGTAGCAAGTAGAGTGTCGTCGGAGCAGCGCGGAAGCTAAGCAAACGCAACCACCCGTGCGCCGTGTCGCATGTGGCACATGGTTTTCCTGACGCGATGCGCACCGTCTGCGCCGAGGTCGAGGCACGCCGGTCGCCGTCACCGCACGGTGCGTGGTGAGTGTGGATCTCTCGTCCGTGCGAGAACGAACGTAGTCTTCTTCTGCCGTCGACTTTGCACTTCTGGTTTACGCTTCTCAGAAGAGTGTGGCGGATCGTACTCGCGCTATTCTAGCAGGCAGCTACTGGTACTAGTTACTTGAACAAGATGCCAGAAGCCGGGGATCCTAGGCTCAGAAATGACAGGGTCGTCGCGCATTGAACGTCCCATTTTCTCGTCAACCCGCGGCTCAGACTCGCCACCCGACCCAAAACGCTTCTATAAAGAACGCTGCTGCCTCGTAAAAGACAGCATCCAAGAATAAAAGAACATAAAAGACACTGGTTGAATATCCGGATCCGGATACGGCACCCACACCATAATGCCCCGCGAGCTCATCACGATCCAGGTCGGGCAATGCGGCAACCAGATCGGCCGCCAGTTCTGGAAGATGGCGCTGGACGAGCATGCCAAGGTACGCGGTCATGGCGCTGCGCTCATGTGCTCAGCGGATGCTAGCATGCCAAGGACGCCCGCTTTGACGACAGCATGAGCACCTTCTTCCGCAACGTCGACAGCCATGGCGGCGACCTTCCGCCCCACGAACGCATCAAGGGCCTCCGCGCCCGCGCGCTCCTTATCGACATGGAGGAAGGGCCCGTGACCGAGACGCTGCATGGCCCACTTGGCGAGCTCTTTGACTCGTCCCAGTTTCTCACCGACGTCTCGGGCTCGGGCAACAATTGGGGTCCACCACCATCCATGACGACAAGAGGAACATCATGACAATGGAATAGCGCATGGGTATGCGCTCTATGGGCCACAGTACAAGGAGCAGCTTTTCGAGAAGCTCCAGCATGCCACCGAGCTCTGCGGTACGTCGGCCGTCCAACTAACGACGATGCCGAGTTCTTATGCGTCACATAGACTCCCTCCAGTCGTTCTTCGTGCTGCATTCGATGGGCGGCGGGACGGGCTCGGGCCTCGGCACGTACATTTTGAGCTTGCTCGAAGATCACTACCCCGAAGCCTACCGCTTCACGACCGGTCGACACGGTTGTGCTGTCAACCGCCGCTGACGTCTTGTCTCGTGTAGCCATCTTTCCCTCGGAAGACGACGATGTCATTACGTCGCCATACAACAGGTAGCACACGGTTCTCATACGCTGCCGAACGCGATAGCGTCTCTGTAGCATGCTAGCGCTGCACCAGCTCACCGAGCACGCCGACTGCGTCTTGCCGATCGAGAACGAAGCACTTTTCGCAGTACTGTTGACCGACATCGCGAGCGCTTCATTCATTTCAAGCTGCTAGAAAGTCCCGGCGCAGTCAGCGTCATCGTCGTCGTCTTCGTTTGATGCGATGAACCGCATCGTGGCGCGTGTCCTCACGCACTTGACGAGCTCGATGCGCTTCGAGGGCTCGCTCAACGTCGACTTGAACGAGATCACGACCAACCTCGTGCCCTTTCCCAAGCTGCACTACTTGCTCTCGAGTCTCTCGCCGCTGCAGTCGAAATCGCCGGCCTATCAAACGCACCGGCTCCGCCACCTCTTTACCGACATTTTCCACGCCCAGAACCAACTCATCATGACCAGTCCCCGGACGCACGGCGTCATGCTGGCGTGCGGCCTCCTCTTCCGCGGCAACGTTCAAGTCTCGGACGTCCAGAGCCACTTGGAGAAACTCAAAGCCGAGATGCGACTCATCTACTGGAACAGAGACGGCTTCAAGATTGGCCTGTGCAATGTCCCAAGCCTCGAGAGCGTGAAAGGGTCCCCGTCGGTCCTTGCGCTCTCCAACCACGGCTGCATCGTGTACGCCGCTCTATGGACAGTGCGTTGGATGAATCACTGGGGTTAGGGAAACATTTGAGCGTATGCAGACGCGCTTCCTCAAGCTCTACAAGCGCAAAGCGCACATCCACCACTACCTCGAGTACATGGACCACGCCATGTTTGACGAAGCGCTCGAGTCCAACAAGTGGCTCATCGCCGAGTACACAAAGCTCAACACGGCGTCCGACATGCCCCCGATATTGCCTCGGCGCCAGCCGCTCCTCTAAGGCCTCGTCATCGATAGGTTGATATTTGGAAAGGTGTCTTTGCTGGCGTTTGCGATACTCCTCTTCCAGCGTACTGTATGCCGGCGATTACAGTCTGCTTGGCCAGGCGAACGCGAACGACGCTGCATCCATCAGCACCAGCAACGGGGAGCACCTGCACTTCTCTCGCTGTTGTCTCACATAACACCAAGATGGTGCGAAGCGAGATGCGATCAACCGACATATTTCTTCAAGAGACTCACCGGAGTTTTTGACCCGCCGCCACCAGCGTCGTAGGGCGACGACAGAAGAGCCAGACGAGCCCCCGCGCCGCCGCCTGCGCAGCCACGGACCGGTGAGCGAATGATGAAAAAGGAGATTGCTCGTCTCTAGGTTATGCAAAGATTTTGTGTAATTACAAAGATCACGCGAAACACGTTCATATATAAACACACCGGAGTAGACTACGGTTGATCGAACCATTGTCATAGATGTGGCGATGGCTGACCCAAGCAGTTGCACGGACGCAGCATGGCCGCTCCCATCTCATATCTGCACCAACCTAATATGGGCGATCGTGTCTGCTGTGGTAGACACCTTGCCGGCATGGGCCTCGGGCAGCTGTATTGGTGCATTGCCAAATGCCACCACGTACGCCTTCCAACCTCAGGAGATGACAAGGCGCGGAAGACGACGTTAAGAAATCACATGCAGCCGCGGGCAACACTGCGAGATCATGACCATGTCCGAGAGGGCTAGTTGGTATTAAGAAGGAGTGGATCTAATGGTGGTGGAACGAAGAGGGATGGCGCAAACGCATTGAGGTTTAACCCAAGAGGACGCGCTCGGCCGAAACAAACTTATACGGCGGGATCTCCATGTTGAGCGGCGCCGGGCCCTTGCGAATGCGGCCCGAGACGTCGTAGTGCGAGCCGTGGCACGGGCAGAACCAGCCGCCGTACTCGCCGGCGTTCGAGGCCGGCACGCAGCCCAAGTGGGTGCAGATACCAAGAATGACGAGCCACTTGGGGTCCTGGACACGCTCGGCGTCCGTCTCCTTGTGGCGGAGTTCGGCCATGCTCGTGTTGTTGCTTTCGTCAATCTCCGCGTCAGTGCGGTGCTTGATGAAGATGGGCTTGCCGCGCCACTTGACCGTGATCGTCGAGCCTTCCTCGATCGACGACAAGTCAAACTCGGCCGTCGAGAGCGCCAACACATCGGCCGACGCCGACATGGTGCCCACAAACTTGAGCACGGCGAGGCGCGCCGCCGTAGCGTACGCGACGCGGGCGCCACCCATCATAAAGTAGGTGAACGCACGCTTCGACGGGTCGCCGACCTGCGCCTTGACCTCGTCGTCGAAGTAGTGGTCCGGCGACGAAAAGTCTTCCTTCGACGGCGCCGCCGAGAACGAGCGGGCTACATGCGCATGAGGATCGTCGTCTACCATGCATGCGGACGCGTACCGTTGAGGGGCGCGACCAACCCGCGGGCCTTCGAGGTCAAGCGGCGAGCGAGCATGATTCTCAAGACGTCGAAAAAATCAAAAAGTGAGCCAGTGGTGGCGGAGGCAGCCTGGCAAAATGACTTGCTTTCAGTATACCGACGTCGACAGCGGATAGGGCTTCCCGCGGCAGTTGAAGGATTCCTCTCTAAATTTATACAAACTACAAGAGGAATCGACGTTTTCGTGTTTTTGTTCCAATTTTGGCGATGCAAAGCGAAGTCCATGGCGATCATTGGGGCAGCGACCAGCGGGTTGTGGGCCCCTCTGGGCCCCATGTACGGCACGGCTGCCTGCGCCGGTCTTCCGCGCACGTAACGGACCCTTTTGTTGTCAAAGCCATGCACAATTGCAGGGCGAGGGCGGCTTGGAGTAGAGTGCGTCACATGACGCGTGGCAATGCCACAGCATCGGCGTCGTGGGCCGGCGGCGCACCGCATGGCGAGCTTGGGCCGGAGGCCGCAACGTGACTGGTGATAGCTACGCCACGCGCCGAGGACCTGGTGGTGCATCACAGATCGCTGCGATGCCCCAACACGTCCAAGGCAACGCAGGGGCCCGCGACCGGCTATCCCGAGGATGTTCGCTGGCGTTCATCACGCAAACGCTTCCCTCGAACTCACGCCACAATGACGTGCAAGCACGAAGAAATATGTATGGGTCACGATGGGACGGTCCTCTGGCTAAGGTCGCTTTGTGTTGATCGAGTACGTGGCACAATACCGCCTAGGTGTGACCGCAAGGCCGCTGTGACTGGCAGCTGACCATAAACATGCTGCCGTGCTTGGAGGAGTCTTCAGGCAGCCCTCTGCGGTAGAGCGCTGCAGGGAATGCGTCGAGAGACCTAAGCTGTAGGATGTGGCGTGGTGCTGCGAGCGCGGCGTCGTCTCTTACAGCCCGTGACCGCAACGGTGTCGAGTTGCCGTTGACTGCATCCTCCTCGCCATAATCCCTCCATGATTACCCAATCGTCAGTGCGACATCTAATTGGGCGGGCCCAATAAAAACAGCGCAACGCTCTCCGATTGGTAGAATATTAGTGCCGTGGGATTGGTCAAAATGCCGTGTGCTTTTTCCAATCGACCAATGAGCGTTGCTATCTCACGCTGATTTCAATTGGTAGAAATAACCATCCTTGTGGTCATGCGATTGGATATGGTTGGAATTTACGGATTGGTTCAAATGTTGGTAGTAGAAGCAAGTCCTCAGGCATCTCATTCGACGGCCTTCCGGCCCTTCTTCCTGCACACTACATGCTATGAAATCGAGCGCACGACATCACGTCGACTGACGCACCTTCCTCTCCTGCAAGTTTGCTTGCAAGCAGTCGCCAAGATCATGACCACTTGTGATTGGCTAGAATGGATTCTTTTCATCGTCTCGGATTGGCTCAGCTATAATCCCGGTCGTTCATTGGTGCCAGCGGCCTGGACAACCACATGCCATGGGATTGGATAAAAAGATTGCCATTCGGCGATGCCATTGGCTGCAAAAGCTACCTCGATGCCATTGGTGCAAATGTTCACTGGCTGTGCCCCGGCGCCGGCCAGCATCATTGCGGGAGCCGAATTACTTTTCGTTCGTCAAACACAAGTACATCACCATGGGTCGCATGCATTCCGCCGGCAAGGGCATGAGCAAGTCCGCTCGCCCCTACAAGCGCACGCCGCCGTCGTGGCTCAAGGTCACGGCCGAGGACGTCGAGGACCACGTGTGCAAGTTCGCCAAGAAGGGTCTCTCGCCGTCGCAGATCGGCGTGATCCTCCGTGACTCGCACGGCATTGCCCAGGTCAAGTCGATCACGGGCTCGAAGGTGCTCCGCATCCTCAAGAAGAACGGTAAGCTATCGAGATGTCGCCTTGACGATGATCTGATCGGCGTCGACCCATTCTCCCTCTTGTGCCATGTCGTCCCTCTCTCCATTGTCGTCGTGCCACGGTGTTGCCTGCCACACAACATGTTGATTGTGTGAATGGAACATGCGGGGTTGGTGTCGTTTGCATTCCTTAGGTCTTGCCCCTGGCCTCCCGGAGGACTTGTACCAGCTCATCAAGAAGGCTGTCGCTGTCCGCAAGCACCTTGAGCGCAACCGCCAGGACAAGGACTCCAAGTTCCGCCTCATTTTGATCGAGTCGCGCATCCACCGCCTCGCTCGCTACTACCGCACGAACCGCAAGCTTTCGCCCAACTGGAAGTACGAATCCGCCACGGCCTCGACGCTCGTCGCCTAAGCGCTTTCGCTCTCTCTACCTCCCGGTGATATTGCGAACGAGCTAATGTCGGTCTAATACAACTGATGTTACCCCATATCTCTCGAGTTGCTTTGCAGCATGTCTACAGTCGTTGCGCATGCGCTACGTGCGGCGCGGCTGTGCCATGCATGGGACGGCATCGGCTGTGTGACATGGCAGCTTTGCAAAGTTTTCCCGACCACAGCGAGATGTCGCGGGCCTGCGCAGTTGCATGGCAGAGCCTGCTCGGAAGCATCGATCGATCGCGCTGCTCCGTGGCTGTCGCAGCGCAGGCTCGGCCAGCGGCCAGCTGCCATATACATAGCATGGACTCGGCGAGCAGCAAGGTTCAAGCTCGCAACTCCACACAATCCTATGTGGGCGGAAATATAGTCCTATTTAAATAAGTGACGATGCTGTACCTGATCATTGTATGTATAATTCAACATTGACATTAAATTGGCTGGCAGGACCAATCTTTCCGGACGAGCATGGCCAAGGCAGCGCTCCTCCGCAGCGCGCTCTGCTTGACGACGGGTGCTTTGTGAGCGCCATGCGACCTCGCGCTCATGGCGACTGCATGCGTAGCCAAGCCGCGGCCGAGCCCGACGCTCTTCATGTTCCCGGGCCTCAAGGCGCAGCCCTTCCATGAGGCCAAGGACTTTGCGTGGACGCAGTCGTTCACAGACAACCTCGACACGATCCGCGAAGAGTACGTCGCACTGCGCCATGCGCAAAAGGAGAGCGACTACGTCCTCGCAGGCCAAGAGCATGCGCTCCACCAAGGCCAGTGGGACTGGTTCAGCTACGTGACCAAGGGCAAGAAAGTCGACCTCTTTGAGCAACACTGCCCGACGACGACGCACCTGCTGAACGCCATTCCGGGCTTCATGACCGGTCTGCCGTTCGCGTACGCGTTCTTCTCGACGCTGCAGCCGCAGAGCGCGATCAAGGCGCACTCGGCGCCCTGCAACATCCGGCTTCGCTGCCACTTTCCGCTCTTCGTCCCGCCCAACTGCGGCATCCGCGTCGCGGACGAGACCAAGGAGTGGAAGGAAGGCGAGTGCATGGTCTTTGACGGTAGACATATGTGCAAGTGGACGGCGCAGCCATCTCACATTTTTTCCATTAGATGCGTACGACCACGAGGTGTGGCACGACGGCCAAAAGGGCGAGCGCGTCGTCTTGCTCTTTGACCTGTGGCACCCCGACTTGGTGCCGGGCGAGAAGGACGCACTCATCAACGTACGCTGCACCTTGCATGCCTCCTGCGACTCGACCGTCATGCTACTAGATGTTTGCCGAGGCGAGCGACAAGGGCTGGCTGACCAAGTAAGAAGCTCTGTGACGACGAAGCGCACGAGGCGTGGCATAAGATTAGCATTAAATGAGCACTAACTAACTCTGCGATTTGGACGAAAGCAACGCGAGGAGGCTTTGGCGCCCGCCCGAGCTCGTTTTCCGCCGGCGGCTGCTGAAGGACCCGCGGCCCGGCGACGTGGCATGGATCCCGACCTCGGCCAGGAACGCGTCGAGGTCGTGGTCCGCATCAAACTGGACGCGGAAGCTGCTGCTGTTCGTCATGACGTCGTCCGCCGTCTCCACGCGGAGCTTGACGAGGCGGTCGTGGGTCCATGCGGCGGCAACAATGTCGGAAAGGGCAAACGTGCGCTGGGAGTTGAGCCATGTCATCGTGCCATCGTCGACGTCGACGTCGATGGCCACATATTCGGTGCGGAGCCCGACCTTTTCGAGGAGAGACTCTTTCCGCTTGGCGTAGTGCACACCCATCTTGTGTAGTTGTGGTCGTTGGCACGCCATGCACAAGCAAGTAGCCAACCCAGGAGCTGTCTCTGCATGGCTGGTCCCAAACCGAGAAGCCGCGAAGAAGAAGAACAGGCGCGAGAAGCGACATGCACTTGCAGCATCAAGTGCTTTGCCACTTGGAGCTGCTCCTCCTCCATCAACTTGGATGATTCGCTCGAATTATTCATGTTTCTGGATTCGAGTCCCAAGAACTAGAGCTGTTTCGAGAAGTGTAGCAGTACTAGTATCATCATCCTTCCCACCACCACCACCACTAAGTTGCAGCGCAGGTCGCGCTGTACTACAAGGGCATCGCTGTTGATGGAGGCACGGTCGGTCGTCCAACGCTCGAATGGTAATCGCGGCGAGCCGGGCGCGTTGCCGACTGCGTGATGATGACTCGAACCCTTGCCCGATGATGCGGTTTCTGAGCACGCCTCGTCGCCCGTTTGCAGGCCACCGTGGGACCATCGGTGGTCGTCCTGGTAATCACGCGGCGTTGGTCGTCGGCGGCTGTTGCAGCGACCTGCTGTCAAGCGTCGTGGTCGTCGTATGCGCATTCGCATTCGCATTCGCATTGGGTGCGAGTATTTGTTAGGGTCTCGGTATACAGGGTAGAGGCTCGCTTCGCCATTGCTATGGCGCTGGTGTCGACGCAAGACGATACTGGTGATGTTGATAGAGGATTTGATATTGCACTTGTGGCATTTGCTAATAAATAATAATTCTAGAGTACAGCGGGATCGCTACCATGGCGATGAGGGCACCGATTAGATGCTGCGGCGCGACGACTTGGAGCCGGACGACGACGAGAGCGACGAGGCGCAGAACGAGCCGCGGCGGACTTCGCCGTCGTGCTTGGTGGGCTGGAAGCCGAGTTCGACAAGGAAGAAGTAGAGGTCGGCTTGGCACTCGAAGACGAGGCGCTGCTTGAGGAGCTCGCCGTCCTTCTGGATGCGCAGCTTGAGGTTCATGTTGTTGGTCCACTTGGCCTCGAGGATGTCGTCGATCGCGTACGTTGTGTTGGTGTTCATGCACGTAAACGCGCCCTTGCTCGAGTCGACGTCCATCGCGAGCGTCTTGCCGCGGAACCCGAGCTTCTCCATGACCGTATCGCACTGCTTGGCGTAGTAGACCACCATTTGGATGTTGATGGCGAGTGTGGTGGACGAGCAAAAATGCAAACTGGACCTGGACCGAATGGTGTATTTTTTAAAATTCACTGCGTGAATAAAATTCGATCGCGCCGCCTGTCTACGGAAGCAGCATACAAAAAGCAAGAGAAACGACACGCCAGCTGGTGGCTACTATGCTGAACTCGAGACGGTCGCCACACTCCCACCCTTGCGCGAGTTGGGTTGGGCGGCTGCACGGCCTCACTCGCTCGTGCTTGGGCGATAGCAGCTGATGGCATTCTTCTGAATTATATCGCTCAGCTCCACGAGGCTGTGGAATAGATTTGGCAGGAGAGTGGGCGACGTCGTCTGGTCCAAGGAAGAGACAGCGTGTTGACCCAACACGAGCATCAGAGTTGGCGTTGACATCGTCGTCGAGAACGGTGAGTAGGCGCTTGCTGTGTAATGGCGTAGTAGTCGGTACCAACCCTACATGTCCTCCGGCCTCGGTGGTCCAGCAGTGTACTGTAGCGGCTTCCCGCAGTGCAACTCCAACTACAGTGTAGTACCGGTACGAAGCTTCACGTCAACGTGACGACCAAGCACCAACGCAGCGCAGTGTCCAGCGATGCCGTCACCACGAACCGTTCTGGGCGCCTTCTTGAAGCAGTCGCCAAGTATTACACAGTACAAACCATCGCGACGTGTCTAGTTCCGGGACTTGCACGTAGCAAGTCGCGAGCCTAGCGCGTACGACGAACGAACGGGCGCGATCTTGACGGATCGCTTACTGTAAACAAAGCTGTAAACGGAAGGTCTGCCGATGAATCTCAGGCGAGGTGGTCGCACCGGACAAGTGCGACTGTGCGACGACGGCAACGCAGAAGCCACGGCAACGCTGGGCAATCCAATGTGCGTGTCTTTGACGCAGTACCTCTCATTGGGAAAGGAAGAAGTAGCCGATGATGAGATGCAGTCGGTAGAGGCCGCCAGTATTTGTCAGTGGGCCCAAAAAAGAGCGGCAGAAAGAAATGCAACGGCGTTGTTCGCGCCTGGATGGCCACCTGTGCCGCTGGGTACATACACAGTGGCTTGCCGATATTAATACAATGGAATCATACTTGTCTGGTGCGCACCCACGAGGGACCCAAGTTGAAGCACATGGAGAGAAGTTAATTTAGATGTGGGATGCGGCTTTCTACAGATGGTCCAGGACACGACTCTCGTGGCAGAGACGAAGACGGCTGCTGCTTAAATAGTTGGCGAACGAGACGGAATGCGCTTCAGCGGCGGAGGCTGCTCTTGCGCTTGGGGCTTTGGAGAATCGGGTTTGTGAACGAGCCGCGCCGCACCTTGCCGCCATTTTGAAGCGGCTCCATACCGAGCTCCATGAGAAAGTAAAACATATCGGCTTGGCAGTCAAAGAGAAGGTGCTTCTTGAGAACCGCCCCGTCGTCGTCGAGGAGCCGAAGGCGCAGGCCGCAGCGCTGGTTCCACACCGCGTCGACGATTTGGTCTGTGTTGTACTCGTCGCCCGAGTTGACCCAAATGAGCACACGCGCGTCCGAGAGGACCTCGAGCGCCACGTACACGCGCCGGAACCCGAGCTTCTCGAGCACCGTCTTGCACCGCTTGGCGTAGTAGAGTACCATGTTGCTCGCTGGCTTGTGAATGGCAAAGTGCCGCTACACGCCCATCGTGTCCTTAGAGAGACAGCGCGCTCCGAACGCGAACGCGAAAGAAGAGAAGAGCAAGCCGCGGTGCAGGCCTTTACGCTGCAGCAGGTGTCCACGTCCTCTTTGTATCCAATACAAACGCCCAGTTGTGGCTGGATTTCTAAAGCTACTCGAGAGTTGGCCTATGACTCGAACTCTGCACGCGGCGGAGGATGGAATGATGCGATGCAACACTGCGCCGATCTGCCCGCTGAGCTTGCCCGCTGCTGCGATCAAGGCGATGGCAACGTACTGCACGCTTGGCTCTTGGCTTGTCGCGCCGAGTCGCTCGCTCGTGCCGACCTCTGGCGCGATCGCTAATACTAGTGCACCAGTGTAGTCCTTTGCACCGTCCACGAACGCTTCCACACCAGTGTACGTAGTCGGCAACAACCGCGTGTTCCGCACGACATTGACGCCCCTTCCCGCTGCTGCGCTCACGATCAAAGCCGCTACGATCACGCGATTGCATATCCGGCACTTGGCTCGCCGCGCCGTGGTACCTTTGCTTGCCGAGTCGCTCCATGCCCTACGCCCCGTGGTGTGCTCGCTACCTCATTTCCCACTCAATCCCGAGCCGACCACGCGCCCTCAGCTTGACGTACCGGCCAAACCTCACGAGCGCACTAGGAAGTCCACCATCTTCACTATATAATTGCATGTTGATAACTCATTTCAACAACAGCGTAGTGTAGTCGGCAGCGGATCAAGATATAAGTTAGCATCGCTTAAAAAGCAAAGACGTGGGTCTCGGCGTGCGCGAGGTAGGTGACAATGTCGTCGGCCGACGGTCGCTGGCTCGGCTCAAACGAGAGGCAGCGCTTCGCGAGCGCCTCGATGGCCGCGGGACACGACGGGGAGAACGACGGCGTCGCGTGCTCCATCGTCACGAGCTTGAGCACCGTGGTCGGGTCGACCTTGCGCCCATTCGCAAACACCTAGACGACGTCATGAGCATATTGCTACGACTATGCCCGTAGGTACCGGGTGGTCGACAAACGGAATGTTGCCCGTGTCGAGCTCCGAGAGGACAATGCCAAACGAGTAGACGTCGGCCTTGTCGTCGTAGCGCCGGCCGAGAAACACTTCGGGGGCGGCCCAGAGCGCGGTCCCGACGCCGGCGGTCATCGTCTCCTCAAATGCACGCGTCCTGCACATCGCATGAGACTAGGTATTGAGAAATAGAATGTACAATACCGAGAGACGCCAAAGTCGGTGATCTTGGCTTGGAAGCGATCGTCGAGGAGGATGTTGCGGCTCTTGAGGTCGCGGTGGATGACCTTTGGCGTCCGCGCGTGGAGGTACACGAGCCCTCTTGCGACGCCGAGTGCGATCTGGAGGCGCTCGATGGGCCAGGACCACGCGTCGTGGAGGCGGTTGAGGCAGCTGAAGAGGTCGCCATGCTTCAAGTACTCGGTCGCAAAGCACAAATTGTACTCGGGGCTCCACGAAAACCCGACCAGCGTCAAAATATTCGGGTGCGTCAGCGGCGCCATGAGCCCAATCTCGGCGAGGAAGCACTTGATCTCGACCGGGTCGTGGCGCCGTTCGGGTAGGATTTGCTTGATCGCGACCGACGTGCCATCGAGCTGGCCGAGCCAGACCTCGCCGAACGCACCGCTCGCGAGCTTGCGCGTGTAGAGCAGCCGCTCAAACTCAATCTTGAACGGCAATATCGCCGGGTCCAGCGGCGGAAAGGCGGTCAGCGTGTTGAGCGCCGACGAGTCTTCAATCGCGTACCGATCGCCCTCGTTGAAGCTCGCGTCCGTGGTCTTGGCGCGGCGGCGGCGGCAGAGGAGGTAGCCGAGTAGGATGAGCAGGATGACGCCCGTGGCCACGAGGAGGATGATGCGCGTGCGCGCCGCGTGGTCGTCGCTGTCGGACGCGCTGCTCGATGCAAGGGCCCGCAGTGACATTGCAAGTGGTGGTGGTGGGCGCGAAGCGGATGGCGACTGCGGCGACACCGTCGCACGACGAGATGGGAAGCTGCTGTTCCGCTTGACCGAGTTGCGTCGCCGCCACTTGGCTGACCACTTGGTGCGAGTTCCCGAAAAGCAGCTGGTCGGTTCCGATTCGATTCGGTTGCCCGCAGCGATACCGGTACCGACGACGACGACAACGACGACGAGAGGATGCTGCAGACGGCGTGGACCGCGGTCGGCGTCGGCGGCGTCGCCCTCCTCCTGTACCTCTCGTTCACACCCCGCCCCGTGACGCTGCCTGTCGCAGGTGGCGACAAGGTCGGTCACGGCCTCGCGTACTGTCTCCTGACACTGTGGTGGGCGCAGTGTGTACACGGAACGGCCGTGCCAGCGCTCGTTCTATCGTTTGCGCTGCTCGGCGTCGCGATCGAGTACGTGCAAGGCGCGTCTGGCTGGCGCACCTTTGACGTCGACGACATGCTTGCCAACGGGCTCGGCGCACTGTTGGGCGGCGGCCTCGCCCTCGCCACGCCCAACGCCTTGGACGCGCTCGAGCGCATCCTACGGAAGCGAGACCGACGTCCAGAGTAGGCGTCGCTGTAATCCAGCATGCGAATGACTTAGCCTGTCGAACCGACCTTGATGCAAGAAGCATCCGCGTACCCAATGTACTCAGTACGAGTTGACAGCACGCAACGAACGCGACAGTCGGACCAGATCGCCGTGTCAACTCATACAAGTGCTTTATGGTGATGCGAAGCTTGACGCGGAGGAGGAGCGACTCTTTGGGTGGCCATTACATGAACGCGGTCACGGCGTCTTCGTGTCCGCTGATCAGCCATCCCAAGCCGCCGTTGGTAACCTGCCTACCGCAGTCGTCGTAGCATGTAACAGTCGGTGTCACGTACAGCACACTGCGATGCAACGCAGTCGTGCACGCCCAGCGCCTCAGCGCCTCAACGCCGGCGTCTGGTCCCATGGCTCCGCCACGACCTTCGACTGGATCGCGATCTTCGCGACGTCGGATGCTTGCCCGCTGCTGGCTTTTCGCCGAGTGTTATAACAATGTTAGATTGGACAGGCGCAACGTTCAATGCGACACAGAGAGGGATGAAAACACCCAACCCTACTCGCGCGTTGACGTCGACGGCAGGAGCCGGATCCGCTTGCACATGTCGTCCACCAACTCCCATGACGTCCACCATCTCTCATGACCATTGAGAGTACCGTGCTGCTGAACACAGTACCATCCTCCCATGGCCATTCGATACAATTCTGGCGCGAGCTCTGCTGGACCAGTGGCGTCAGCGCTGCCGCCAGCGTTCTTCTTTGGATTCGATAAATGGATGCGAGCCATCGAGGCTACTGCACCTGTGGGCAACGAACCCGGGCCCATGAGCTGGCGAGGACGACGCGGACCGTGAGGCCATTATTGCCCAACCCGTTCGACTGCTCGACGCCAAGGGTGCATGCTTATGGAGCTTACGGGCGCTGGTCGCCAGCACCGGTAAACACCTAATCTTGACGATGGGTCTGCTGTCTACATGCAGAGCAGTCGCCAGCACGCGCTGCCACCGCACCCAAGAAGAGAACGAATGCCAGGCGACGATCGCACGGCAAGCCTTCCTGGCGTGACCATGGCACAGCAACCTTACGACGACGACAATTCGACTGTACTACGGCGGCTGCAGGCAGCGCACCCATCGACGACGTATCCACGTGGCAGTCTGTGTCAACTGGATTGTGTTGAGGCGAGTGTTTTTAGCCCACTTCAGTAACCGGATGCCATTGTATCCGGATCCCCCCGTTTGAGGTGACGGCTGGGATACAATTCGATTTCTTTTTCTCGGCGAGCATGTTTGGCGGCGGCTTCGAGAGCTTCTTTGGCGGCGGCGGCGGCTTCGAGGGCGGCCATGGCCATGGCATGCCCCGCGGCAACGTCGACAACTCCAAGTACTACGAGACGCTCGGCGTGGCCAAGGACGCGACCGCGGCCGAGATCAAGAAGGCCTTCCGCAAGCTCGCGCTCAAGAACCACCCGGACAAGGGCGGCGACCCGGAGCTCTTCAAGGACATCACGGTGGCGTACGAGACGCTCTCGGACCCAGAGAAGCGCGAGGTCTACGACAAGTTTGGCGAAGAAGGCCTCCAGCAGGGCGGTGGCGGCGGCGGCGGCGCCGACATTTTCAGCCAGATGTTTGGCGGTGGTGGCATGCGCCAGCCGCGTGGCCCGCCGCGCGGCGAGGACCTCACGCACCCGCTCAAGGTGTCGCTCGAGGACTTGTACAACGGCAAGACGGTCAAGCTCGCCGTGAACCGCGACGTTGTCTGTGCTGGCTGCAGCGGCAAGGGCGGGCCAGACGGCGCGGAAAAGATGTGCAGCACGTGCAACGGCCGTGGCATGCGCATCCAGCACCGCCAGATCGCGCCCGGCATGGTCCAGCAGGTCCAGTCAGTGTGCCCCGACTGCCGCGGCCAGGGCAAGACGATCCGCGAGACGGACCGTTGCAAGGCGTGCAAGGGCAACAAGGTCTCGAAGGAGCGCAAGGTCCTTGAGGTCCACATCGAGAAGGGCATGCGTAACGGCCAGCGCATCACGTTCAAGGGCGAAGCCGACCAGGCGCCTGGCACGATCGCTGGCGATATCGTCTTTGTCGTCCAGGAGAAGGAGCACGCGACCTTCCAGCGCAAGGGCGCCAACCTTATCATGGAGAAGAAGATCACGCTTGTCGAGGCGCTCTGTGGTTTCGAGACGATCGTCGAGCACCTCGATGGCCGCCATTTGCACGTCAAGACCAAGCCTGGCGAGGTGATCAAGCCGAACCAGTTCAAGGCAGTGCAGGGCGAGGGCATGCCGCAGCACGGCAACCCGTTCGTGAAGGGCCAGCTTGTGATTCTCTTCAAGATCGAGTTCCCAACGTCGGTGTCGGCGGACCAAGTGCGCGCGCTCCAGAGCGTCTTCCCGTCGGCGTCGCCCGTTCAGCGCTTCAGCGATGCGGAGGAGGCCTTCTTGAACGAATTTGACGCCGAGGCCGCGCAGCAGGACGCGCAGCGCGAAGCGTACGACTCGGACGACGAGCGGGGGCAGCCCCGTGGCGTCCAGTGCCAGCAGCAATAAGAATGCTAGTTCTTAGAGACGTAGTAGATAATGAATGGGGTATGATGATGCATGACGACACTGCATGCACATGTCAAAAATGACGTGGCAGCTTCAGGAGACAGAAGCGCCTCCGTAAAATTGATTTGGCTCGTACGTGCTGGCGCTGGAGGTCTGTCACGAGGCCTCGCCTTGCGCATACCACCAAGCTCCTGCGCATGGGCGACCACTTTGAGAGGAAGAGCAAGTTCGAGGCCGAAGAGAAGGGAGGAGATGGCAGAGGTAGAGCCATCCATCTGCAGCAGGAATGGCAACCGAGCGACCGCTTTCGCAGCGTGTTGTACAAAGGTGGAAGTCGTGTTTGTAAATAAGAAAACGAGTCGTCTATAGCTCATCGGGTCGTTATTGCTGCTGGCACTGGACGCCACGGGGCTGGCCACGCTCGTCGTCCGAGTCGTACGCTTCGCGCTGGGCCTCTTGCTTGGCGGCCTCGGCGTCAAAGTCCCCGAGGAAGCACTCTTCCGCTTCCGAGAGGGGGCGCGGCGCGGACGCCGGCGGAAAGACCGACATGATGCGGCGCTGCTGATCGCGGGTCATTTGCGCCGGGAACTCGACCTTGAAGAGAATCACAAGCTGGCCCTTCACGAACGGGTTGCCGTGCTGCGGCATGCCCTCGCCCTGCACCGCCTTGAACTGGTTGGGCTTGATGACCTCGCCAGGCTTGGTCTTGATATGCAAGTGGCGGCCATCGAGGTGCTCAATGTAGCACTCGAAGCCACAGAGCGCCTCGACAAGAGAAATCTTCTTCTCCATGATGAGGTTGGCGCCCTTGCGCTGAAAGGTCGCGTGCTCCTTCTCCTGGACGACAAAGACGATATCGCCGGCGATCGCACCCGGCGCCTGGTCGGCTTCGCCCTTGAACGTGATGCGTTGGCCGTTGCGCATGCCGGGTTCAATGTGCACTTCGAGGACCTTGCGCTCCTTTGTGACCTTGTTGCCCTTGCACGCCTTGCAGCGGTCGGCGTCGTTGATCGTCTTGCCCTGGCCGCGGCAGTCGGGGCACACCGACTGGACCTGCTGGACCATGCCGGGCGCGATCTGGCGGTGCTGGATGCGCATGCCACGGCCGTTGCATGTGCCACAGCTCTTCTCGGCACCGGCCTTGCCACCACGGCCTTCGCACGCGCCGCAAAGCACATCGCGGTTCACAGCGAGCTTGACCATCTTGCCATTGTACAAGTCCTCGAGCGACACCTTGAGCGGGTGCGTGAGGTCCTCGCCGCGCGGCGGGCCACGCGGCTGGCGCATGCCACCGCCAAACATCTGGCTGAAAATGTCGGCGCCGCCGCCGCCGCTACCGCCGCCCTGCTGGAGGCCTTCTTCGCCAAACTTGTCGTAGACCTCGCGCTTCTCCGGGTCCGAGAGCACCTCGTACGCGACCGTGATCTCCTTAAAGAGGTCGGGATCGCCGCCCTTGTCCGGGTGGTTCTTGAGCGCGAGCTTGCGAAAGGCCTTCTTGATGTCGACCTCCGACGCCGTCTTGGGCACGCCGAGCGTCTCGTAGTACTTGGAGTTGTCGACGTTGCCGCGCGGTGCGCCATGGCCATGGCCATCGCCGCCAAAGAAGCTCTCAAAGCCGCCGCCCCACATGCAGACCGAGTATCAACTCTGTGTCGAGTGCGAAAATGGCCCACCGAGTGCAGTTGCAGCGGATCTGGCGCCCGCCCAATGGCCTTGCAGCACGCGCGCTCTCTTGCGATTTGTATGCGTCCTGTCTTCGAGAAGCTGCGCGTGGAAATTTCGAGAAGACGGCCGGTGGCACCGGATTGGTCGCGGATTCGGGCAGCGCGCGTTTGGATTGGCCAGGAAACACGGTCTCGCGCGATGATTGGTGCACAGCAGAATACCGGCGTTTGATTGGTGCGCCCCCGATCTTGGTACGTTTTTGGCGCGGCCCAAAGATGCCACGCGAGCGGGCGCTACTGCCACTGCAACGAGATCCGTAACTTCACGATACACAAAGAGCAGGTCGATGCTGCTCTACCTATTCATTCGACATTTGCAAGACCAGTTTTCCCTTATTCCTTTGATTCGAAAAATATTGGGACTATCGGTAGTTGTTGGTATGAGGAAAGGCCGATGGTTGATGCTGCTAGGATGCATCGCGCGTGGTCGCTGACTCGAGATGTGTGGCATAAGGATGGCGCAGCAGCCATATTTTTGCCAGACGTCGCGCCTCGCGCCGTGCTGAGATGGACGCTCGCTCCTCGTCAAAGCAGGTTCTCGTTGGCATACGCAGTGGTGGGAAGATGTAGTGTATCTTGCAACCTGTTTGGGTCGACCGATGCTTCAACGCATAGCTATCCAGCCAACATGCTGCTACGCTAAACAACTTGCGCTAGAAGGTGCACGACCGCACAGATTTCGCCACCGCCACGTCGAGGAGAGAAGAAACTGCGTTCGTCAACGGGTCGGTTCTCCTTCAATGAACGCACTTGACCAGCCATTTGCGTATGGACCAGCCGGATAGAGTGCACATCGCTGGACAATAAGACGACCTTATTGTGGGGTCATCATCCTAGTCCAAGGCCCATGTCGTTTGGTCCAACGCCGCCTCGCGACACGACGACAATAGCTTCCAGAAGGAGCGAGGGACCGCCTAGCGCCTTTGCGGCTAGTAGCTGCGATGTCTCGCTGTGCGGGAAACCAAGGACGGGACGATCAAGGCCAGCGGCGATATAGCGAGCGTTCGACTCCATCGTGCTACCATGTCCATATCATCATTGTCAAGCGACCCTTGTGGCAAGGAGAAGGTCGCCTGTGGCCGGTTGCTGCTCGAACTTCGGTGATCGGACGAGGCCAAACCTTGAAACTACCCGTCCACCTCATCACTGCCGCCACTGGGTTTGCGAGAACGACGCTGCTGTTGGAAAAGGACGTGTCGTCGTCGGTGGTAGCTCATTGCTAGCTCTGTGTAGCTCTGTTCTAGCTCGGTACAAGTAGCAGTGTACGAGCACACGAAGTGGCAGGTGATTGATTGTGGTCGCCGCGTTGCTCGCTGCGTTCGTCAAGCTATCATCGAACCGACCTTTCCGGCAACCGCCCGTGGTGTTGTCCGCGCTTCGATCCTCGCTCCGGACGCAAATATACTAGAGTTCGATGTGCGGCGTTGACGCGGAATTTTGCAAACCATCGACGCGCAGCGCACGTTGCACGTGACCCAGTGCGCATCATGCTGTGCGTCGGCGGCGACAGGCGCCCAAGGTGCCTCCGCGTTCGCACGACCGACCGACGCCAACCATCGTACCATGAGCCTTGCTCGTCGCTGGCCGTGGTTTGGAATAGCTTGGTTGTGATAACGTAGGTCACAAATAGTATATATTTGCTAGACAACCTACCCCTATGCTCGTCCTGGGCTCCGAGCATCATGTACCATCTGTCATATTCGAAGCATGCAGCCGTCCCGAGAAATGCACAGACGCGGCTGTCATATCGCAGGCCTGGTCACCTTGGGTTTTGTATGGTGAAGCTGTGCGCACGGCTAAAGTGCGCTCCGGCTCTGCGGCGTACATACAAATAGCAAGTGCGATAACCGCACTTGCGCGGACATCAAGTCAGTTGGGTCGCAACTCTGCCAAATCTCTTGCGGTTTGTATGTCCAGAACCCAACTTGCGCCATGTCCAGTCTCCGGCGCCTCGACGGCAGCGCTGCCTCTGGCGGCGGCAGCTCCGCGCTCAACATCGCGCTGGGCACGGTCACTGGTGTCATCGTGCTCGTGATCCTGATCCTGTACTGCCACCAGCAGCGCAAGTCGCGCCAGCGGCGAGAGGCGCGGCGCATCCGCCGGCAACAGCAGAGCCAAGCCAAGACGGGCGACGGGTACATGGATGCGGACAACAACCGCACGATCAACTTCAATATGATGGGCCAGCAGCCCAAGGCGGAAGGCGACGACATTTACATCATGCAGGGCGGCGACGACGGCCATAACGGCGACGACTATGACGGGTACCGTAACAACAAGCCCAAGGCCAAGAAGCCGGCGCCGAAGCAAGCGCCGTTCAAGATGGACCAGGACCTTCTCGACGCCAAGGTCGACTACAGCATGATCCAGTACACGCGCAAGCTCAGCAAGGGCGCGTTCGGCGAGGTCTGGCTCGGCCAGTACCAAGGCCGGTACGTCGCGATCAAGCAGATTCTCGAGGAGCGCAAGACGGACGCCAAGGAGATCGAGTGCTTCGTGGCCGAGATCAAGCTCATGGCCAACTTCAAGCACCCAAACATTGTCGACTTTCTCGGGTTCTCGTGGAACCCAAAGGACGCCAACTTGTGCGCTTTGACCGAGTACATGAAGAACGGCGACCTCTTTGTCTACCTCCAGAAGCGCAAGGCGACATTGACATGGAAGAAGGACAAGCTCGCGATCGCGCTCGACATTGCGCAGGCGCTCGTGTACCTGCACGCGCTCACGCCCAAGGTCATCCACCGCGATCTCAAGTCGAAGAACGTGCTCCTCGATGAGAACTGCACGGCCAAGCTCAGCGACTTTGGCATCTCGCGGCTGCGTCAACTTGAAGAGACGATGACCGCCGGCGTCGGCACGGCGCTCTGGGCGGCCCCCGAAGTCTTCTTGGCCAAAAAGTACAA